TGTGCAGGCTAGGTGGATCGCCTGAGACAACAAGGTGCAGAGCTGGATGAACACAGCAGGCCAAGCAGCATCATTGGAGCAAAAAGGCTGACGTTTCGGGCCTAGACCCTTCATCAGAAATGGGGGAGGGGAAGGGGGTTCTGAAATAAATAGGGAGAGAGGGGGAGGCGGATAGAAGATGGATAGAGGAGAAGATAGGTGGAGAGGAAACAGACAGGTCAAAGAGGCGGGGATGGAGCCAGTAAAGGTGAGTGTAGGTGGGGTGTTAGGGAGGGGATAGGTCAGTCCAGGGAGGATGGACAGGTCAAGGGGTTGGGATGAGGTTAGTAGGTAGGAGATGGGGGTAGCTTAGGGAGGCGGGGACGAGCTGGGCTGGTTGATTGCCTGATGGGTCTGAGTGGGATACTCTGAGGGTTGGTGTGGACTTGTTGGGCCGAAGGGCCTGTTTCCATACTGTGGGGATTCTATGAAATATATTTGTAGAAGACAAGGAAAGCTAAATGAACAGTTTTATTTTCATAGAAGGTCACTGAATATTTGAAATATTCAGGAATTTGAACAGGAGATTTTGGCAGCTTTGAAAATGCTGCAGTTATCTGTCAGAATTCAGTTGTCGAACTTCATAAGTGACTTTCCCTAAAAAAAACAAGTTTGGCTGACTTAAGTTGGAATGTAGCTTTGTCACTCATCTGTGATTACTGTTCGCTTCAGTGGTCTCTGTCAATCTCACACACGCATGAACATACCTTGAAATCACTCATGAAACATTGTCCATTCTAATCAATGCAGCTCAGTAATGTCTGTGCCTTTAACTGCTGACAGCCATGAAGCTGTTGGCACTCAGCACTCAATTAGTGAGCAGTCATTCATAACATAAACATTACTAAGTCCAGATATTCAGCTTACTTAATATATCTTGAGTCAATTTTTTGTTTGTTTTAAAAGCATAAATAATACTTTTACAGTCAGAAATCAATTTTCAAATTCCGTTTAGTGTCCCCAAATTTGTTGCTTTAACAACCATGGAAAATTTGTATAACCAGTTATCTTCTGGGTTTCTGAAGAAGGGTCCAGACCTGAAATGTCAGCTTTCTTGCTCCTCTGATGCTGCTTGGCCTGCTGTGTTCCTCCAGCTCTACACCTTGTTACCTCTATCTTCTCTCCCACCTCTTTACCACCAACACCTTCACCCCCAACCCCCGCAACCAAACATTAGAATAAACGGGCTTAAATTAGCAAATCATCTTAGATCCTGGCTGCTTATAAAGGAGGAAAACCATTAGTTCTGATGCCATAATGTTTAATGAAGCATATCCCTCTCTCTCTTAAAGAGACAAATCTAGGTACCAAAGAAAATATGCAAAGCCAAATTAAGAGTTTCCAAATCTAAACCGAAAGAACTGCAAATGCTGTAAATCTGTAAAGGTGGGTCAGAACAGTTCTAAGGAAGGGTCATTTCACCCAAAACATTAACACTGATTTCTCTCCGCAGATGCTGCCAGACCCGCTGAGCTTTTCCAGCAATTTCTGTTTTTGTTTCTAATTTACAGCATCCACAGTTCTTCTGGCTTTCATTTACTGGAAATTCCTGTGAGAGACCATTGTGGCATCTCTATTACAACAAGGTCTGCATCACTTAAAGCAAAATCAGGACAATGGAGGTGGGCAATAATTATGACCTTGCCCATCGCACCCATATCTCAGAACCAGTTCAAAACACTATAGGTGGGAAGGCAGGCTTATGAAACAGGAATAAGCTTCACTGGCTCAGCAATATTGGAAAGTAATTCAATGGAAGGGGTGTATTTTTTAAATTAAAATGGAAGTTTGACTAAGTGAATAAGGAAACCCATTGCTTCTGATTAAGGAGTCATTTATGAGTGGTCATCAATTGAAACTGTTCACTGAAAAAGTGAAGTAAGAAATTAGACATTACACAGGAAGCTACTAGAGAATGGAATTTTTGCCAGAAAGTGTAATCGAGCCAGTTAATTCACTTTTAAATCATTTTAAGGAATAATAAGAAACATAATTGCAGAGAGCATGGGAAAGAATCATCAAATCCCTGGAAGTAGGCCATTTGGTCCATTGAGTCCATGCTGACTCTCTGAAGAGCATCCCACCCAGATCCAAACCTCCCCCCCAATCCTATCCCTATAGCCTTGCATTTCTGATGGATAATCCACCTAGCCTGCACATTGTGGGCAATTTAGCATGGCCAATCCACCTTCCCTGCATCTTTGGACTATGGGATGAAACCGGAGCACTTGGAGAAAGCCCACGCAAACACAAGGATAACGTGTAAACTCCACACAGACAGTTGCCCGAGGGTGGAATCGAACCTGGGTCCCTGATACTGTGAAACAGCAGGGCTAACCACTGGGCCACTGTACCACCCCCAAATGGTTTAAGATTGCACTTCAAAAGAGACAGTGTGGGCCAGATGGTCTTCTAAACTGGAACTGTTTTTTGAATTATTTCCTATTCATAACGTGACTAACTGGGTTTATGATGTTGTAAAATTTCTACTAAAATATTGTTTCCTAGGCAGTTCCAGATCAGTCGAAAACAATGAAATTAACAGACGCCAGTTAGTGTCATGTTCCTTCCTCCTTTCGACATTCTTAAATTGTCAGCTTTCAGGGATTGTCTAAGCAACAACAAGACAGTGGCACAGACCTATGGTGTACAGTGGTCAATATTAGGATCATACAAAGATTTGCATCGTAACCATTTTACTTCACCAAATTAGAACCGAGGGTTTGGAATACTCATATTCTCAGTGGTTTACCCAATAATGAAGGGGGCACGGCTTTGATCAAAATACTTTAGTCAAACCCATATTCTTCTTATGAAAAATACCTGGTGAATGGATAATCCACATGAAAACATAGGATTGTGAGAATGGCAGATGCCATGTGCGTGACATCATTCAGTCAAAAATGATTCATAGTTGGCCTGCCTTTGCTATCGCCCTAGAGATGAAGACGGTGCTCTTTAATTACTTCTTTCAAGTCATTTGCTAGTTTCATGAATAATTAGGTGTTTTCATCCAGTGAAAATGGAAAGAACTGTCATTAGTTTTCCTTTGAGTGTGCAGCTCTTAAAATAAACCATTGGCAGAAATATTATGGATCACCTCACTTATTCCTGGGCTAGACACGGCGAGACTTCTTTTTTTGGTAAGTTGCTAATTCAGTGGCGTGAGGACATTAATATGTTCACCACTGGAGCCTCATTCTGAGAACCCACCCAATCCAAAGGCATTGAAATCACAGAGGTTAATTGCTTCAGGGTTTCAACTGATCTGCTGCTGTAACTGAGAGATACTTTCTGTATGAATCCTGCTTATGTGAGTTTTCCCTCCACTCCATTTTATGGCAAAGTGACAGAGCCAGAGCGGGAGTAGCCACAAAGGAATATCCTGTGAAAATTACTGCCAGGCTTCAGGATCCAATGGAAGTAAATTTCAGAATGTGAACCTTCACTTGCCACATACCTGCTCAACTCATGAAAGCAAAATCAAATCCGGTACAAAAAAAATTTCTTCATATAGTTTGAAGTGTTGCAGATTAAAATTGTACAGCATCAACAAACAAAATGGGCTAATTTTCACACAAATGCCTTATCAATATCAAACAATAGTGCAAACAAATAATTCACCAGTCTGAGAATTGAATCTTTTCTTTGGAGAAAGATGGGCATAATGGGGCTGTATAACAACTTGATATGATGGTTATGCATACACAGAAATGGACATTGTATTGAAGTTATAGCACAGAAACAAGCAAAATGGTCTAACAAATCTAAGACCATGTTCATACTTCACAATAACCTCTTGCTACCCAAATCAATTAATTCTATCACCATATCCCTCCAGTCATTTATCCTTCATGTGCTTATTGGGCATCCTCTCAAATCCACAGACACTCAGGTAATTCAACTTGTCAAATTAAACAAACACCAATAATAAGCTTCTACTCATTTATAATTTCCAGTTATCAATGTTTGATTTAAGTGGCGGACCTTCTAAAGGACATGTGAAGGGATTTTCAATTGCATGCACTGTATATCTCAGCTGGCACATGAAAGATCAGCTGAGGAGATTCCAGCGGAGATTTCAGACACCCAATTTATGGGCTGATTTACATTTCAGAGATGGTTTTTAGTGGGAGTTGTGGAAAGCTACTTCAATATGCAATCGGAGGTGTTATATGCGAGCTTGGCAACTTCTGTGGAAAAAAGGCTAAAGCGAAATAAAGTATTGTGAATGCTGAAGATCTGAAACAAAGTGCAGAAATTGCCTGAGGAACTCAGCAGGTCTGGTGGCATCTGCCATCAGTTCTGAAGAAGGGTCACTGGGCTCGAAATATTAACCTTACTTTCTCTCCATAGATGCTGTCAGACCTGTTAAGTCTCTCCAAAAATTTTTGTTTTCATTTCATGAGGAAAGGAATGGGGTGGTTTCTCCAGATGCCAAGTGGCCTTTGGGGTTCCCACAGAACAATTAATCATCATGGAGTTCTTTTAGATCAAAGTGGAGCATTCTCTCATTCTACTGCTGTCACCCTGAATTCACATTACTCCCATGTACCCTCGGCCATCTCAAAGAAGTCTAACCTGTCACAGCTGGCTGCTTGCAAAAACCAAAGCAGAGCAAAATGCAATGAAACATCTCACCGCTAAGATTTAATTCAGGCCCAATCCTGAGAAAGGATCAACAAAATCACACATATTACAGACTCAATTTGACAATCTTTGCCAAAATAACCTTTGCTTACCCAATCATGTGGTGTTTTACGGGCTCGGGCAATGGCTTCTGACATTGTTGTTTTTAATCATGGGTAGTTGCAGTAACATTGGTTTAAAAATGGAAGAACAAATGTTCACAGGCACATGAAGCTTATCACATTAAAAGAAGTTAAACTGCTTTTCATAATAGCCAGGAAACATCTTCTTTCCCAACGGGGTTCACCACATGACAAACAGTAAGTACTTACTTTGACATAGCCTTTGTCGTAATACTCCTCGGATCTTGTCTATGGCATTGAAGTCAGTAACGTGGAACATGTGAGCTGATTTGGGTTCTGAGGCAATCTCCTCTAGTTCTTCTTTAAGGGCATCACCAACACCCACAGCAAACAGCCTGATGCCAGCGGAGTGAGCCAATGTGGCATTTGGCAACACTTCATCCTGACTTCTGCCATCTGTCAAAAGAATTGTCACTTTCTGAATGTTTGGATCATTGGGTCTCCCGCCAGCTTGCTGTGAGAAGCTGTTCAAGGTGACATAGCCAATGGCCTCTCCAGTTACAGTATTTCCTCGGCGGTATCTGATGCTTGCTGCAGCCTGCTGGATATCTTCTATGTTCTGATAAGTGCCTAAGTTGAATTCTGTGTGAGGCTTGTCACTGTAGCTTACGACCCCTACTCTTGTCTTATCTGGACCAATATCAAACGTCCCCGCCAAGTTGGCCACCCACTGCCTGACTTTTTCAAAGTTCTCCTTGCCCACGCTGTAGGAAGTGTCCAGCAGAAAGACCAGGTCATAGTGGACATTCTTGCAGCCTGTAAATGAAGCAGAGTCAGTGGGTAATACATGGTGCACACTGAAAAACAGCAGTACTGCTCCCCAAAGCATTTCAGTGCAACATGCTGCCTCGAAACAGTGGATGTCAGAAAGATAAAGGAAAGCCGAGCTCTTTCACTTAGCTCCTTTGTGCTCGTTTTGAGAGGAGATCCACTTAAAGTGATGTACGACACATTTGAAGGCTGTTATTATATGCAGTTCCAGCCTTCCTCTGAAGCCTGCCCTCATCAGACTGTAGTATTAAAGGAAGTTGTTTTCTTGTTGATTCCTAAATGAACAAAGAGCTTCCACTAGTGGTTTTCAAAATGTATTCCACCTTAGGTATTTTTTTTCAGTTAGAAGTAAGAACTTTAATTTAAAATGAAGTTGTGCACTCTGATGGGTCCAAATGTATGTTTTTATTTTCAGCTCCTAGTGGACTTTATTTTTATATTTGTGGATTTATAGAAGATAATTTACTCCCCATAGTTTAAATGTAGAATTATTATTGTTGTTTTGTGCCATTAGACTCCCAGCCAAACTATACCAATGCATTAGTGGGAAAGGCATATGGCATTACCTTACCTGTTTGAACCATTGATGGTGTTTGCACGTGACTGAGCTTCAGCAGAAATATTTGGGATTCTTTGCCAACAATTGAGTTCAAGTTTTACAGCACTTTGTAACTTTGCTGCATGGAAAGTACAAAACTTGCATTTATATAGTACCTTCCATGACTTCAGCATGTCACAAAGTCAGTGAAGTGCTTTTGAAGCAGTAGGTTGTTGTCAGGAGTGTAACCACAACAACTAATTGGTGTTTAGCTAACTCCTACAAAGAGTAATTACATAAATCAGAGAATAAAATAGTGAAATAGTCTGTTAATGGGGAAAAAAATAAAGACTGCTGTATTCTTTTGCTCTTGTTCAAATTCTATAATGAAAATGTTTAACATCCACCTGAGAGGTTTCAGTTTAGAATTTCATCTCTCAGTACTGTAGTAAAGTATCAGCCAAGATTTAGTCCACAGACTGTGGAGTGTAATTTGTCCTTAAACTTCCTTTCTTCAAGGATGCTTAATCCTTTATATTTGAGCCTGTATGATCAATGTAGTGGGTAGATCATTAAGACAAATGTTTCTTCAACTAAGCTATATCTTGCAGCAGAGGACATTGGGCAGTGATCAGTTTGTACTAAGCCTGGTTGTTTTTTTTCTAAGTTTGGCTCAAGAGAACTCAGGAAATTATATGTTTCTACATTTATCTTAGCTGAGGTTAACATAGTTTTGTCTCCTTATTTAAGGAAAGATATAAATGCACGGAATGCAGTTCAGAGAAAGCTTACTAGATTTATGTAAAGAGTGAGCAGGTTGCTGATGAAAATAGGTTGAACAGGCTGCGTCTGTTTCCACTGGAATTTAGAAGAGTGAGGGGTGACTTGATTGAAGTGTATAAGATCCTGAACTGTCTTGACAAGGTGGATGTGGACAGGATATTTCTACCTGTGGGCAAGTCCATGACTAGGTGGCACTGTTTAAAAATGAGCAAAGACCCTTTGTGGAAAGTGACAAGAAGAGTTTTTTTTCTCTCAGAGGGTTGTGTGCCTTTGGAACACTCTGCCTCCGAAGGTGGGATCATTTAATGTTTTGAAGTTGGAGGTAAATAGATTTTTGGAGAAGCAAAAGAATCAAAGGTTATTGGGAATAGGTAAGATTGTGAATTTTGATATACATGCAGATCAGCCATAAACTTAATGGATGGTGGAAGCAGGCTAGATGGACTGAATGGCCTGCTTCTCTTATTTCACACGTTTGTACAGCTCAGTAACATTTCAGGTTACATTATCAAGAAAAGCTTTGGTGGAGGTTTTTTCAACATTCCTGCAGTTGGACATAAGATAGGATTTCAGCTGATTGATTAAAGTAGTCTTCCAGCCTTCGTGCACATGCTCTGTAAACCTTTTGATGCAACAGTCGTGTTCATTGCATTCAATCTTTACCAACTTTGCAGATGACTGAGCATGAAAGAATGGTGATCTGAACTGAAATGCATCCATAAACTGTTCTTAAAAGCATAACACCACATATTTAAACATTAATACCTTTCCTAACTGAATCAAGCCCTAACTGGTATTGATATTTTAAAAATTAAACATCTCAGCCTGGACAACATACCAATCTGCTGTTGAACGTTAAAAGAACTAGCCCATGGCAAAGTTGAACTCTTTTCATTTCTCAACAAAGCTTTAACAGTTGTGCAGGAGAGATTTTTTTTTGGAATAACCACTGTGAAGGATTAGCTCACACCAGAAGTTGAAAATAGTAGAAAACTAGGCATAATAAATCCCTTCAGGTGTTTTTCTGCTTTCTGTTGTTGTTAGCATTGCCATCAGTTGGTGAGGAAGTAACAGAAAAGATGAGAATGCAAATACCTAAGAGTCCATTGTTATTTTGTTTTCTTTTGCAGTTCAGTTCAAATCAGGAAGTATTGGTTTAATTTCAGAAAGTTAGAATGATAAAGGGTTTGAAAATAAACATCAGGAATATTGGTTGGTGATCAGCCTATTTGAGCTTGTCGGTGAGAGAGGCAGAGTATGATCCCTGTATCTGAAACCTATGGTGTCCACGATATCACACCTTGGGTCTTATTAATGTTAAATTGTCAGAGAAACATTAAAAACATAGGAGCACGAGTAGGCCATTCAGTCTTTCGAATCTGGTCCATCATTCAATATGAATCATGGCTGATCATATGACTCAATAACCCGTTCCTGATTTCTCCCCATACCCTTCGATCCCATTAGCCTGAAGAACTGTATCTCACTCTTTCTTGAAAACAATCAATGTTTGGCCTCAAACGCTTTCTGTAGCAGATAATTCTGCCAGCTCACCACTCTCTGGATAAAGAAATTTCTCCACATCGCACTCCTAAAGAGCCAACCCTTAGACTGTGATAACAAGGTATAGACCTGGATGAACACAGCAGGCCAGGCAGCATCAGAGGAGCAGGAAAGCTGGTGTTTCGGGTCTGGATCCTTCCCCGGCTCTGGACACCATGGATATCAGAAACATCTTTCTTTATTTTGCCTAGTCGTGTTAGAATTTTATAGGTTTCTGTGAAATATCCTTCATTTTTTCGAAATTCCAGTAAACAGAGTCCTAATCAATCCATTCTCTCTTAATATGTCAGCCTTATAATTCCAGGAACTAGTTTAGTAAATCTTTGTTGTACTCCCTTCATAGCCAAAGTACGTTTTCTCAGATAAGGAGATCAAAACTGGACACAATATTCTAGGTGTGGTCTCACCAAGGACCAATTGCAACAAGACACCCTGCTCCTGTGATCTCTCCCTCTGTTGCACACATATTGGAAGATCTTGAGAGCATTACGGGCTACGATGAAACAACATCCAAAAGCCACAGGCTACCTATCATTCTAATGAAGGCTAAATTTATGTTCCAGCTGGCACACTGTTCACAGTAAATACTGCTATTGCAGTTTATTGAATGAACACAGCTGAGTTTTGTCTGTCAACTGACACGTCTTTCCCGCACCCTGTTATTAGGCACAGCTTTGGATAAAGAGGTGTTTCTGTGACAGAGTAAAACTTGCCGCAGCTTTTTTCTCTGGAGAGCTCACATTAAAAAAGTGACCAATCCCAAGCTTAAGGCATAGGTGGTGATGCTGCACAGCTATGAGATTTATATGAGGTTTTCAACTGTGATATTTTGCCTACCTACACATCAATACAGACACTGAAAGTTTATATAACCTCAACTTCACCAAAGGAATGAGCCAAGGAAGAATGAAGTCTATTTGCTTTGACACTGACAGGGCATAATGAAACATTTTACAAACAATGAAGCACCTCTGAAGTATAGTCACTGTTATAATGTAGAAAAAGCAGTAACTGATTAGTGCATAATAAGCTTCCATACACAGAAATGTGATCATTGCAAGACCAATTATTCAGGTCCTTGAATTGACAAAGGGGTCTTAGGTCTTGCTAATTGAGAACAAGGTCTGCCAGATGGGTTGACAATTGACACATGGTGCAGAAAACTATTTAGTGTAATGGAATGCAATAGTGTTACTGCAGAATATACCCAGGGAATAGTCAGACCCCCTGACCTGACAGCCACTGTTGTCTTTCCCTCTTTCATCTGTGTGTGCTTGCCACTCCTCAGAAAATCAAGCTCATGTGCTACTTGCTTGGTAACAAGATTAAATATTTTTCTTGTGTTCGGATGAGATCTCAGAGTGAGGCAAAAAATATTCAGTTGTGGTCCATATAGGATCAGTGACATAGTTAGAACTAGCAATGATGTCCTGATAAGGAAATTTGAGGAACTGAGTTCTACATTAAATAATCTTTGGATTAATATCTGTCGCTCATGTAAATTGGGAGAGGGTCAAACAGGTTTGAGATTTAAACTCAAAGAGACAAGTGGAAAGAAGGGGTTTTGAATCGGGGAAAGAGGGAGCTATCCTATTGGCCCAGCCTTCAGTTCATGAGTTGAGATTGGCATTCTTGTTAATAGGGTTATGCTTATGGGTTGAAATTATCTGTTGTAAGGTTCAAATGAAAGAAAATTTGGAAATCTAAAGAGGAAAGTGAAGCTAATAGAGTAATACCATCATTTAGGCAAGATGCTAGAAAAACACAAGAACAATGCGACAGGAAGAGTTTAAAGATAATTGTGCATTAGTGATTAAGGTCAGTACGAAGAATGGTGTTCAAACATTTAATTTTGGAATGCACGAAACATGCACAGCAAGGTATATAAAGCAGTAGCACAGATAGAGATAAATGGGCTGGATCTAATCACTGTGACATAGACATGGTTGCAAGGTGGCCAAGATTTGGAAATAACTATTTCAAGATACTTAAGATTCTGATAAGATAGATTGAATCAAGTATACTTCACAATAAAGAGTAACATAAGGAAAATAGTAAAAAAAATCTTGTCTCAGAAGATAAGGAACTAGAATTAGTATAG